AGTGGGCTTTTTCTGCTGTCCTCTGAAACAAACAAATCAAGACTTGGTTTAATACCCCCAACTTGTTTCATTGGCAGAGAAGCCTGAGAACAAAAACCGAAAACCAAAACACCAAAAACCCCTACTACTAAGCCAGACAGTGGTGGTGTAGGCCTTTAATGCTGGCATTCAGGAGGCAGAGGAAGAGGAGTTCTGAGTTCGAAGGCAGTCTGTCTGGCCTTCAGAGCTACGTTTCAGGACAGTTAGGGGTACACAGGAAACCCTGTCTCAGTAAACAAGGCAAAAAAACAAAAATTAACCAAAACAACATCAACAAAAAAATCCAACCTGTCTATTTTTTTCCCATTTCAAAAGCTCTAGTAACTACGAAAAACAAAATCACTGTATAGAAAATGTCTTTGGCAAGTTGAAATGCTAACTGAGGTACAAGAAATTATATATCAGCTATTTCAGCTTTTCCTGAATAACTATATTTCATTCCTAAATCAAAGGAGGAAAATATGCATCTGGATTCCCTTGTCTGGTCTAGCCATCTTACTGCTCCCCACGAAACACTGGTAAGGTTTGTCCAGTGTGTCACCAGCACAGGTTTGTTGGGTGATATCCATTGGAAACAACAGACAAATCTAACTTCAGTTATTGCAAATAAATGCGTGCTGAGCTACTGGGATAGCTATCATAAGGAATGTGTTAATGGATTCAAAGCCGGATTTTCCTTAAACACTGATGAGGATTAAGGCTGCTGTGGAAGTCCATGATCATAAGGCCAGTACCAAGTAAGTGGAGGCAGAAGGATGAGACCCCAGGCCACGGTGGAAGACACCTCTAATCCCAGCAGAGACACCACTTATAGCTATAGAGGCCAGGGAACGGTAGTACACACCTTTAATCCCAGCAGCCACACTATTGTTAGAGGCCAGGCAGTGGGTGGGTGGTGGTGGAGGGGACACACCTTTAATCCCAACACCCGTGAGAAGCAGGCAGAAAGATCTATTTCAACGAAAGGGATCGTTTAAAACAGCTCACACCAAGCTTTGTTCAGTACTTGGGAATCCCGCCTTTAATCCCAGCACAAGTTGGGAGGAGACAGGCGCTCAGTACAGTCTGACATCTGGTGGAGGCAGATGTAGTCTGGAGAACAGGATCGCCCATTCCTTCCGAGCATTGGTGAGAACTCTAGTGGCTGGCCACTTTTAATCCCAATACCTGTCACTGGGTCTTTATTAGTAGTGCTACATCTCACAAACAAAGAGGAAAGAAGACTACAGGCGACATCAGTTCCAAGTACAATATTCTGGGGCTTGCCCATAAGTCCATCGCTCCAGAGGTAAAAGCCAGAGGAGCTCAGTTCGAAGCCAGATCGACAAAGAGCCTGCCACTCAATAAAGAACCAAATATCCTGCAGTTGCAAACAGCCATTGGGACTACATCTGGGAAAGAAGACCCCTCATTTCAAAAGGAGCAAGTCTAGGAGCCCCGAGTAGTGGCGAGTGGTCTACCAGATATGGGAGCCGAGTTCCTGGGGCCAGAGCACTTGCTCCCAGCACAGCTGGCCCAGAAGGGGACCCGTGCAGGACCGCACAGCCGCCACTGGCCCCGTGCATCCCACCCTCAATCCGGAGCTTCTGCCTCCAGTTGCCAGGCTGCCCACCACCCAGACTCTCCCAAGCCCCAAACTCCACTCTGCAGCCCTGGCTTTACCTGTCTTCCGAAGTCCTGCTCTCCTTCTCCTTGTACCTCACAGGTAACACTCTGAAGCAGCCAAACAGGTGGCAGCTATTTAACAGAGGCTTGCCCCGCCTCCCTGCCACGCCCGCACCAATCAACGCCTGTCTGGAAGTCTGACAATTGCCCTAAACCACAGCTAATCCTCGCTCTGGCTGCCTATAAGCTACAAGAGCGCACGAGCCCTGAAGGCCAATGACTGAGATTAAACCTCTGAGCCTGCCCACCTCACTAGCCAGTTAGAGCCGCAGGAAGGAGATGCTCTTAAGGGATCCTGCATCTGCTGAGGAGTAAATAACCAACCGGAGGCCCTTGGAGTCCTGGGATCTTCTCTGAGGATGAGATTTCGATGCTCCAAAGCTCAGGGGCCTTGGATCATTGGTGGGCTTTCTCGGATCAAGTGAATCACCTCTTTGTCTGCGGGAGGAGCCTCTTGGTGGCAGGCAGTTCGGGCTCTGCTTACCTGGAGGGTGGTAGTATACGCCTTTAATCCCAGCAATTGGGAGGCAGAGGCAGGCGGATCTCTCTGAGTTCAAGACCAGCTCTTTTCTACAGAGAGGCACAGAGAACACTTCCATCAAACAAACAAACAAACAAACAAACAAACACAACTTCTACCTGTATCCTTTCCCCATCTCCATCTGGCTAGGAGACAGGAAAACGACTCTGTTGAAAGGACTAAAAAGGGGGCAGACACTGCATGGCACTGCGGAGGAGCCCCGGACACTCCACATGGACATAAGTCACCAGGGCCACCACCCGGGTAAGGGTGCTGTGGGTCGAGAGCACCTGTGGACCAATGGCCCTGATTGCAGCCCATAGAAAGGGAGGCTGTGGCGGGCAGCAGTTTGCTTGACAATCTGAATTCCGGCGGCCATCTTGATCGTACCCGGACCACTAAGAACCTTCAAACTGCTGCAGGACAGAGTCACTCCAGTTCATGCAGAGATGTTTTGAAATATCATCTCTCACGCCTGGAGCAGGATGAACACTCAGACAAAAATGTTTGTTGGGTGACTACAACATCGTGTCGTGTCATTCAAATGTCTTTGGGTCAGTTTTCCCGTTAGTATTGTTATTATTGTTATTACTGTTATTTCAGAGACAGATGTTTGGTATGTTGCCCAGGCTGTCCTCAGATTCTGTTTGCTTAGGTTCTTGAGCAGCTGGGGCCTACACACATGCTTGACTTCTAGCCATCCAGAAACTATATATATATATATATATATATATATATATATATATATATATATGGGTAAATAATACCTGCAACTCCTACAAGAGTTACAAGTAACAACAGGTTAATGCAGAAAATGTGTCTTCAGAGGTATCCAGTACAACGAATTTTCCTGGGGAAATTATCACAAACCATTCCACAGGGACACATACACACACATATGCATATACTTTTGCAGAAAGTATCGTTTTTTTTTTCATTTAATTTTGAAACAAGTTTGCCTCACATGATAATCTGCCTTTCCCCTCCCATGTCCCCCCACCCAGTCCTCCCAGCATGAAATTCCACATAGAATAACAAAAGCTAAAGAGGGATTTTAAAAACAAAAGGACAGAGAGCAGCATGGTTCTCTGGTGGGCTCTGTTTTGCTAGAGACAAGCAGACTCACATGGCTCCTTTAATGGAGTCTTCCTGACTTGGCATAAGCACCAAAAACCAACTAAAAAAACAAAAAAAAAAAACGAACCAAACCAAAAAAAAACCCCAAAACAACAACAAAAACAACAATAAAACAAAAACTGAACAAAACTGCAAGGCTCTTTAAAGAGGCCCTGCTAACAATTGAAAGGTGTGTAAGTGCAGGTGCCAGTGGCAGTGAGTTTCCGAGCTAAAACTGCAAAATTATCTATTTGAAACTTTGACAAGATTAAGCCAATCCATACTCAAGCATGGAGGAGAGTGATCATGAGGTCCTAAAGCTAGCTAAGTTACTGACAATTGATGTATCCTGGATGAGCCTAAGTTAGGTATTATTGGGTACATAGGCGATTTTATGCAGTTTGGTTGTGTTCCTTTGTGTGGTCCTATACCCATGCGCACATGTGCAGCACTAAATGGACTCTTTGGGTCTTTAAATCAGAACAAATATGAACCAGGTGTAGTGGTACAGACTTTATTTTTAAAACAATCTTATTTTACACAGCAATCTCAGTTCCCTCTGCCTCCAGACCCTCCAATGCCCCCACTGTCTCCCCATCCCACGCCCAATCCACTACTTACAGAGGCTGAGGTCTTCTAAGGAGAATCAAAGTCTGGGACCTCATTTGGGACAGAACAAAGGCCCTCCCTCCCTGCCTCTAGGCTGAGACCATAGGAAAATTGCTTCCAAAAGTACATTTCATGCGTTGGGGATAAATCCTGGTTCCAAAGCCAGATGCCCCATACGCGGCCAAAAATCCCCAGCTGACACCCAGGTTCAAGGAACCTAGTTTGGTCCCATGTAGGTTCCCCAGCTATTTTCAGGAGTCAGTGAACTCGCACTAGCTCAGGTCCAGCTGTTTCTGTGGGTTTCCCACAGCACGGTCTTGACCCCTTTCCACATCACTTCTCAGTCTCTACAGGTGGACTCAAGGAGACTGGTCCAGTGCTTATCTGTGGATCTCTGCTTCCGTCATTACTGGACAGGGTTCCAGGATGGAACTTAAGGTACTGATCAATGTCATTACATATGAAAGACATTTATGGTGCCCTGTCCATTATTACTTTGATTCTTAGTTGGAGTGGATTTGGTGGATTCCTGGGAATGTCTTTATGGTAGCAAGAAGCTTAAACGGCATCACAGGGGTAGAAGTGAGAGGGGAGTCGCTGAGTTTGATGTCAGCCTGGTCGAGACCATGGTCCAGGATGCCAGGGCTTCACAGAGAAGCCAGACAAACAGTAACAAAAATTTAAATGAAGTAAAACCAATAAAGAAGAGGTTCATGAAACAGCACGGGCTAACAGAAGGCCTGGGATAAGTTTGGGCGTGTGTTAAAGGTAGGGATATGAGATGACATGGGACGGATACATTGTATGGATGGACAAACTCACCAAAGTATGAAATGATGTATGTTGATTTAAAAACCAAAGCAAATTATTCTTAGGAAAACCTCTCAAATATGTAAGATGCTTTATAAACAGTATTTTGACTTCTTGGGAATCCTTGGAAGTGATTTTGTTCATGGGGTTCAAGTGAAATGCTACACACAACTTTTTTCCCAAGCAGAAGTACATTCTTTATTTCTCTAGATATGTGTATACAGATATACTGTCAATTTAACATCTCCTAAGTTGTCTCCATTTCTTCTACTTGCGGTGAAACGAAAGTTCATAAACGAACACCTGAAGGAATACTACAAAAGAACTGTCTTCAGTATCCTCAGCACTGGCTTCCCCCATGAGACCTTTATATTGATGCTGATCTTCTCCATGTTCTGCTGAAGACTGCGGCTCTTGTTAAGCTGAGGCAGGAGTAGGCACGAGGTAAGGCTTCAGGGCGCTTCCGGGTCTCACTGACCGCACTGGCAAGAGAAGCATCTGTCTCCTCCTCGGCCGTGTCCACCATCAATATATATGGGACAGTTTCGTCTTCCGCAGATTCGGCAAGTTTGACTGCATAGCCTTTACGAACTAACTCTTGCCCAATATCAAGTTCCTGCCCATTGCTGGCATCATATAGATAGATTTCTGGACAAGTTGACATTCCAATATGGACATCGCCAGAGAACTTGGCCACCAATGGCTTCCAGGCACCACAGGCAGTGAGTCTTTCAAACTCCTCCAGAGCTTCCTCTTCCCACTGTTCACCTGAGGGGGCAATCCGTGCCAGACTGCATTCTACGGCCTGAATAGGAAGGATCAGGAAGTCCGTCCTGAGAGCCCTCAGATCCTCCCCTGGGCAATTCCCATTATCTCCAAAGTCAACGAAATATAGGTCCAAGTTCCCATTTTCCAGAGTACCAAGAATCTTGGCTCGATACCAGCAACCATCTACAGAGTATCGTGCTGCTACAATGTCTCCTAGGTTCACAGTCAAGTCTTCAGGCAGACTGTTTTCATAGTGCCGAGTCATCTCGATCATAAGTTTTTCGCAATGGAAGCGGAAGGAGTCAATGAATTGGATCCAGAAGTGGTTAGGGTTTTCAGAAGCAGAAACGTAGACGTCTAGGAACTCATCGTCATGGAAAATGAAGTCGGGACTGGCAACTTCAAACATGGATGTCTCTGGATAGTTGTGGACACCAGAATCTTGAAGGCCGTCATCATTGGGTGTCTGCCGGGAACCTTCTTGTGGTGCTGCAGCAACCGTATCGCCATCACCTTTGCCGAGATGAACCTCCAGGGGTACGGCTGGGTCCATGCTCGAACTGCTACTCTTCCATAAGGCTGCTTCTCCGGCCGCTCCTGGCTCTATGACTTCCTCTCTTCGAACACCGATAGGCTGCTCTCCTGGAACTCTGGTTTCGGCCGAATGGGCAATCCTGTTTGGAAGATCTTCATCTTCTAACACTTTCTCCATTATCAGACGCTGAGCCGCTTCCACTTCCTTCCGTGTCCCCGAGATTTTTACGAGTCTTGACTGTAGTAACGTGCCCTCTGATTCCTTATGGCACGGAATTTTGGCTCCAGAAGCCTTCCAGATAGAACCAATCGTCTCGCCACCTCTCCCAATGATTCTGCCCACGGACCGCTGGGGCACAGAGACTTCCTCGGAAACCGGGGTGTTCTCTGTCGGGATCTGATGCATTGCTGCTTTGGCTTGGCACACCTCACCAGGTGAGCCGCTCAGCAGCAGCACCCGCTCATCACCCTCATCGCCCGAGTCCAAGTCAATGCCAGCGCCTGTCTGTTCCTGCAGCTGTTTAAGATTGGCTCCTTGCCGACCCATGATCAGCCTCACAGCCTCCTGGGGAACTCTCATTTCTACCTCAATGTCGTCTTCTCCAAGGCATGTCCACCGCTCTTCTCTGCTTTCCCGGTATCGGTGGTACATGCTGGAAGCTACTGATGCAAATGTTGGGAGTCCAAGGACACCGCCTAGTTTTTCCGTAGTGGGCTTTTTCTGCTGTCCTCTGAAACAAACAATTCAAGACTCGGTTTAATACCCCCAACTTGTTTCATTGGCAGAGAAGCCTGAGAACAAAAACCGAAAACCAAAACACCAAAAAACCCCTACTACTAAGCCAGACAGTGGTGGTGTAGGCCTTTAATGCTGGCATTCAGGAGGCAGAGGAAGAGGAGTTCTGAGTTCGAAGGCAGTCTGTCTGGCCTTCAGAGCTACGTTTCAGGACAGTTAGGGGTACACAGGAAACCCCGTCTCAGAAAACAAGGCAAAAAAACAAAAAATAACCAAAACAACATCAACAAAAAAATCCACCCTGTCTATTTTTTTCCCATTTCAAAAGCTCTAGTAACTACGAAAAACAAAATCACTGTATAGAAAATGTCTTTGGCAAGTTGAAATGCTAACTGAGGTACATGAAATTATATATCAGCTATTTCAGCTTTTCCTGAATAACTATATTTCATTCCTAAATCAAAGGAGGAAAATATGCATCTGGATTCTCTTGTCTGGTCTAGCCATCTTACTGCTCCCCACGAAACACTGGTAAGGTTTGTCCAGTGTGTCACCAGCACAGGTTTGTTGGGTGATATCCATTGGAAACAACAGACAAATCTAACTTCAGTTATTGCAAATAAATGCGTGCTGAGCTACTGGGATAGCTATCATAAGGAATGTGTTAATGGATTCAAAGCCGGATTTTCCTTAAACACTGATGAGGATTAAGGCTGCTGTGGAAGTCCATGATCATAAGGCCAGTACCAAGTAAGTGGAGGCAGAAGGATGAGACCCCAGGCCACGGTGGAAGACACCTCTAATCCCAGCAGAGACACCACTTATAGCTATAGAGGCCAGGGAACGGTAGTACACACCTTTAATCCCAGCAGCCACACTATTGTTAGAGGCCAGGCAGTGGGTGGGTGGTGGTGGAGGGGACACACCTTTAATCCCAACACCCGTGAGAAGCAGGCAGAAAGATCTATTTCAACGAAAGGGATCGTTTAAAACAGCTCACACCAAGCTTTGTTCAGTACTTGGGAATCCCGCCTTTAATCCCAGCACAAGTTGGGAGGAGACAGGCGCTCAGTACAGTCTGACATCTGGTGGAGGCAGATGTAGTCTGGAGAACAGGATCGCCCATTCCTTCCGAGCATTGGTGAGAACTCTAGTGGCTGGCCACTTTTAATCCCAATACCTGTCACTGGGTCTTTATTAGTAGTGCTACATCTCACAAACAAAGAGGAAAGAAGACTACAGGCGACATCAGTTCCAAGTACAATATTCTGGGGCTTGCCCATAAGTCCATCGCTCCAGAGGTAAAAGCCAGAGGAGCTCAGTTCGAAGCCAGATCGACAAAGAGCATGCCACTCAATAAAGAACCAAATATCCTGCAGTTGCAAACAGCCATTGGGACTACATCTGGGAAAGAAGACCCCTCATTTCAAAAGGAGCAAGTCTAGGAGCCCCGAGTAGTGGCGAGTGGTCTACCAGATATGGGAGCCGAGTTCCTGGGGCCAGAGCACTTGCTCCCAGCACAGCTGGCCCAGAAGGGGACCCGTGCAGGACCGCAGAGCCGCCACTGGCCCCGTGCATCCCACCCTCAATCCGGAGCTTCTGCCTCCAGTTGCCAGGCTGCCCACCACCCAGACTCTCCCAAGCCCCAAACTCCACTCTGCAGCCCTGGCTTTACCTGTCTTCCGAAGTCCTGCTCTCCTTCTCCTTGTACCTCACAGGTAACACTCTGAAGCAGCCAAACAGGTGGCAGCTATTTAACAGAGGCTTGCCCCGCCTCCCTGCCACGCCCGCACCAATCAACGCCTGTCTGGAAGTCTGACAATTGCCCTAAACCACAGCTAATCCTCGCTCTGGCTGCCTATAAGCTACAAGAGCGCACGAGCCCTGCAGGCCAATGACTGAGATTAAACCTCTGAGCCTGCCCACCTCACTAGCCAGTTAGAGCCGCAGGAAGGAGATGCTCTTAAGGGATCCTGCATCTGCTGAGGAGTAAATAACCAACCGGAGGCCCTTGGAGTCCTGGGATCTTCTCTGAGGATGAGATTTCGATGCTCCAAAGCTCAGGGGCCTTGGATCATTGGTGGGCTTTCTCGGATCAAGTGAATCACCTCTTTGTCTGCGGGAGGAGCCTCTTGGTGGCAGGCAGTTCGGGCTCTGCTTACCTGGAGGGTGGTAGTATACGCCTTTAATCCCAGCAATTGGGAGGCAGAGGCAGGCGGATCTCTCTGAGTTCAAGACCAGCTCTTTTCTACAGAGAGGCACAGAGAACACTTCCATCAAACAAACAAACAAACAAACAAACAAACACAACTTCTACCTGTATCCTTTCCCCATCTCCATCTGGCTAGGAGACAGGAAAACGACTCTGTTGAAAGGACTAAAAAGGGGGGCAGACACTGCATGGCACTGCGGAGGAGCCCCGGACACTCCACATGGACATAAGTCACCAGGGCCACCACCCGGGTAAGGGTGCTGTGGGTCGAGAGCACTTGTGGACCAATGGCCCTGATTGCAGCCCATAGAAAGGGAGGCTGTGGCGGGCAGCAGCAGTGTGCTTGACAATCTGAATTCCGGCGGCCATCTTGATCGTACCCGGACCACTAAGAAACTTCAAACTGCTGCAGGACAGAGTCACTCCAGTTCATGCAGAGATGTTATGAAATATCATCTCTCACGCCTGGAGCAGGATGAACACTCAGACAAAAATGTTTGTTGGGTGACTACAACATCGTGTCGTGTCATTCAAATGTCTTTGGGTCAGTTTTCCCGTTAGTATTGTTATTATTGTTATTACTGTTATTTCAGAGACAGATGTTTGGTATGTTGCCCAGGCTGTCCTCAGATTCTGTTTGCTTAGGTTCTTGAGCAGCTGGGGCCTACACACATGCTTGACTTCTAGCCATCCAGAAACTATATATATATATATATATATATATATATATATATATATATCAGGGTAAATAATACCTGCAACTCCTACAAGAGTTACAAGTAACAACAGGTTAATGCAGAAAATGTGTCTTCAGAGGTATCCAGTACAACGAATTTTCCTGGGGAAATTATCACAAACCATTCCACAGGGACACATACACACACATATGCATATACTTTTGCAGAAAGTATCGTTTTTTTTTTCATTTAATTTTGAAACAAGTTTGCTTCACATGATAATCTGCCTTTCCCCTCCCATGTCCCCCCACCCAGTCCTCCCAGCATGAAATTCCACATAGAATAACAAAAGCTAAAGAGTGATTTTAAAAACAAACGGACAGAGAGCAGCATGTTTCTCTGGTGGTCTCTGTTTTGCTAGAGACAAGCAGACTCACATGGCTCTTTTAATGGAGTCTTCCTGACTTGGCATAAGCACCAAAAAACAACTAAAAAAAAACCAACCAAACAAACAAAAACCCCAAAACAACAACAACAACAATAAAACAAAAACTGAACAAAACTCTTTGGGTCTTAAACTAGAACAAATATGAACCAGGTGTAGTGGTACAGACTTTATTTTTAAAACAATCTTATTTTACACAGCAATCTCAGTTCCCTCTGCCTCCAGACCCTCCAATCCCCTCACTGTCTCCCCATCCCACGCCCAATCCACTACTAACAGAGGCTGAGGTCTTCTAAGGAGAATCAAAGTCTGGGACCTCATTTGGGACAGAACAAAGGCCCTCCCTCCCTGCCTCAAGGCTGAGACCATAGGAAAATTGCTTCCAAAAATACACTTCATGCATTGGCGATAAATCCTGGTTCCAAAGCCAGATGCCCCATATGCAGCCAAAAATCCCCAGCTGACTCCCAGGTTCAAGGAACCTAGTTTGGTCCCATGTAGGTTCCCCAGCTATTTTCAGGAGTCAGTGAACTCGCACTAGCTCAGGTCCAGCTGTTTCTGTGGGTTTCCCACAGCACGGTCTTGACCCCTTTCCACATCACTTCTCAGTCTCTACAGGTGGACTCAAGGAGACTGGTCCAGTGCTTATCTGTGGATCTCTGCTTCCGTCATTACTGGACAGGGTTCCAGGATGGAACTTAGGGTACTGATCAGTGTCATTACATATGAAAGACATTTATGGTGCTCTGTCCATTATTACTCTGATTCTTAGTTGGAGTGGTTTTGGTGGATTCCTGGGAATGTCTTTATTGTAGCAAGAAACTTAAACGGCATCACAGGGGTAGAAGTGACAGGGGAGTCGCTGAGTTTGATGTCAGCCTGGTCGAGACCATGGTCCAGGATGCCAGGGCTTCACAGAGAAGCTAGACAAACAGTAACAAAAATTTAAATGAAGTAAAACTAATAATGAAGAGGTTTATGAAACAGCACGGGCTAACAGAAGGCCCGGGATAAGTTTGGGCGTGTGTTAAATGTAGGAATATGAGATGACATGGGATGAATACATTGCATGGATGGACAATCTCACCACAGTATTAAATGATGTATGTTGGTTTAAAAACCAAACTAAATTATTTTTAGGAAAACCTCTCAAATATATAAGATGCTTTAGAATCAGTACACACACACACACAAATCTGTATACACACATCAGACAGTGACAATTAGGTATGCCCTGCCTTCCTACCAAGCCTGCCCCAATTATCGCCTGTCTTGAAAACTGACAATTGTCCTAAAACACAGCTAATCCTTGCACTGGCTGCCTATAAGCTACATGAGTGGATGTGCTCTGAAATCCAATGACTGGGATTAAACCTCTTAGCCTGCCCACCTCACTAGCCAGTTAGAGTCGCAGGAAGGAGATGCTCGTAATGGATCCTGCGTCTGCTGAGGAGTAAATAACCAACTGGAGGCCCTTGGAGTCCTCGGATCTTCTCTGAGAATGAGATATGGTTGCTCCGATGTTCAGGGGGCTAGAATCAGTAGGTATTGTGGATCTTGGAAATCACTTCTTTGTCATCTTGAGAAGCTGCATGGTGTTGGGCATTGCCTGCTTGCTTTCCTGGGGCAGTGGTGGTGCATGCCTTTAAGCCCAGCCATCAGGAGGCAGTAACAGGCAGAATTCTGTGAGTTTAAGACCAGCTATATTCTACTGAGCTGCACAGAGAACTCTTGTGTCAATAAACAAACAAACAAAATTTCTGCCTGTATCCATTCCCCATACATGTCTTGGCTAGGAGACCCCAAAACAACTCTGGTAAAGGAGAAAAATAGAGGCGGATTTTGCTTGGCACTGGGCAGTATCCCTAGACTCTCCACATCAACAGCAGGCCACAGTGGCCACCACCCTGGTAAGGGAGCTCTGGGTTGAGGGCACCTTTGGCCCACTTGCCCTGATCTTGGGTCTTAGAAGGGAGACCATCGCAGTCAGCAATAAGCTTGAAAACCCGTATTCCAGCTGCCATCTGGGTCTTTTCTGGACCATTAAGAACCCTCCAAATGCGGTGAGGGCACAGTCACACTGATTCATTGGGAGATGTTTTGATCTATCATCTGTCATGCCTGGAGGGTGATGAACACACAAACAAAAATGTTTGTTGAGTGACTACAACAGCGTGTCTGGTCATTCTGATATGTTTGGGTCAGTTTTCCCATTAGTATTGATGAAATGAGATTCAGGGATTGAGAGGGAGCTGGGATTGACATGTGAAACAAGATTGTTTGTAAGCTAAATAAAAAAATTGAAAAAAAAACAGCAAGGTCCTTTTAAGAGGCTCTGCTAACGATTGAAAGGTGTACCTAAGCATCTGGCAGTGGCAGCGAGCACATCTCTAAGCCAGCACCATGCTGCTGGATGTCTGCACAGACTGAGGCAGTGTGCCGGAGTCAAGCTTATGCCTGCTATGTTAGAAAGCCAGAGGCTGTTTCTGCTTTAATTTTAATAAGATAGGTGGCCAGAAAAAACATAACATTTTACAGTAAAGTCAGACTCAGATGAAGAAAAATATAAGTAGACTTGGGAGAGTAAAAGAAACAAGATGTTGAAAAAAATAAAACTTAAGTAGCTGTGTGTGGTGGCACACACCTTTAATCCCAGCACAACAGAGGCAGAGGCAGGTGGATTTCCAAAGAGAAACACTGTCTCATAGAAAAATAAATAAAAGTAAAAGTAATAGAGTAATATAATCCATGTAAAGATGTAAAATACACAGAAAGTCTGGGTACTGTATACTATTGTGTTTTTCAGTTTTTAAGTGGCTAAGGAAGGATAAACTGCTGAAATATACTTGATCATAAATGTTGCTGAATTAATCCAACTTATATATTTCAAAAATGCTTTGACTTCTAACTTTAAACATACAGACCGATTACACTTCCCTCTGTACCAGGTTAAGCCTGGCAAGAAGTCAGTATTAGTGACCGGACTGGGGTCAAATCTGTAAGTCATGGAGAGAATTGGAGGCGGCTCCCCTTAAAGAATCTCAATGTGAGTTTCTAACCTGAAAGAGGGCCAAGGGAAGACGCACCGTCCAGTCTGTACTGCCAGTCTCCAATGACAATTTGGTTAAGGTCTCTTTTAGAGTTCTATTCATCCTTTCTACCTGACCTGAGCTCTGGGGTCTATAAGCACAGTGAAGCTATCAATCTGTCCCCAGGAATTTGGCCACCTCCTGACTTACCGAGACACTAAGGCTGGACCATTATCCAACCCTACTACCTTTGGCAGCCTGAATCGAGGGATGACTTCTTTAAGGAGCTTCTTGACAACAATTTTTGCTGTCTCACCTTTGGTGGCAAAATCTTTGACCCATCCAGAAAAGATATCTATGAAAACTAGTAAATACTTGTTACCGTACTGAGCTGGTTTGATTTCAATGAAGTCAGTCTCCCAATAGAGCCCTGTTTATTCTCCTTGAAGTCATCACCCATGAGGTGCCTTCTGGTGATTGGCATTTACCTTCTGGGGCAATAAGAGAGCTGTCAACAAGTCTAGTATCTCCTGTTTGTTTTTAATTTCTTTACCAGCCAATGTCAGGAGGCCCCGTTGTCAGTAGATTGCCCCCTGGATGTGTGCAGTGACAAATACATACCAGCTATCAGAACAGATATTTACCTTTTTTCCTTTTGCCAGCGTCAGAGCCTGGGCAAGGGCTATCAGTTCAGCTTTCTGGGCTGAGATTCCTGGGGGCAATTCTCTAGCCCACAGCACTGGAGTACCATCCACCACTGCTGCCCCTGCCCTCCTCTTACCTTTGTGAAGAAAGCTGCTGCCAGCTGTATACCAGGTGTCCTCTGCATCTGGCAGTGGTTGTTCAGTCAAGTCTTGGCGAACACCATGCTCTTGCTCAAGTATTTCCTGACAGTCATGCTCAACAGGCTCCTCTCCTGGGTTCAGCAGCAATGTGGCAAGTTGATATGGGTGGCTGTGGTGAACCGGATGCTGTCTGGATTTAGTAGCATCAGCTCTTTGTAGTGTATCATTCTGGCCTTTGTCAGCCAGTGCTGAGGATGTTGGCATATTGTGCTCTCAAGTGCATGTGGACCTTTGATCACAAGGTTCTTGCCCCAGAGTCAGCTTATCAGCATCTTTTACCAATAAGGCCATTGAGGCCACAGCCCTCATGCAACCAGGCCACCCAGCAGTCACTGAATCCAATTTTTTGAATATGTAAGCCACTGATTTGTCCCAAGAACCCAGTTTCTGGGTCTGCACTCCCTTCTCCACTCATTTTGACTCTGAGCCCCAATGCTGGAGCTGACAGTAGGGCTCCTTTGATATTGTTAAAGGCCTGTTGCTCCTTGGAGCCCAAGATGAATGGAGTGTTTGCCTTAGTCAAGGGGTAGAATGGGGCTGCTATTTCTGTGAATCCTGATATCCATAATCTACAAATGCCAGCAGTACCCAGGAACTCATGCACCTGATAGGGAGTGGTAGGCGGCAGTTTCTGAGAAAAGGTTCGATTCCGGGCCTCTGAAAGCCAATCCACCATCCTTAAGGAGATACCCTAGGTAGTTGACCTCTCTTTTGCATATCTGGGCTTTCTTGTCTAAGACTCGGTACCCCAGATTGACCAGCTCCGGAAGGAACCTTTTAGTCATTGTAACACATTACACCTGAGTATGGGCTGCTAGGAGAAGATCATCAACATACTGTAGGACTATCACCTGGGGGTGTAGAGCTTTAAAATGGGCCAAAGATAATGGGAGAATTTTTAAACCCTTGAGGTAGCATAGTCCAGATTAACTGTCCTGATATCCCCGATTCTGGATCTTTCCATTCAAAGGCAAATAGGGGTTGACTAGAAGGGCTGAGTCTTGGCAGAAGAAAACATATTTCAGGTCTAGGACTGTATATCACTGCCACTTGGGGTGGCAAGGCATGTAGGAGGGTATAAGGGTTAGGCACTGTTGGGTGTAAATCTAAGACTCCTTTGTTATTGAACTGGCCAATAATCTCCAGTCCCTGGTTTTCGAACACAATAGCAGGGTGTTCCATTGGGAATGGCAATTTACAAGTATACTGAGTTCTAGTAACCTCTTAATGTGCTATCTTATGCCGTCTCTGGCCTCTTTACTCTTTGGGTACTGACTGACCGCAACAGGGCTTGCTGAAGCCTTTAGCTCGACCACAACTGGAGGCTGCATTTTTGCCATTCCCATACCAGACACCTGCGCCCAGGCCAGAGGAATCTGTGCCAGCCACCTCTCCATATTTGTCTCATCAGATTAATCAAGGTCCATCCTAGGTTCCTCATGGAGTCTATATTCATCTTCAACTCTAATGGTGATTACCTGTAAGGGATTCCGGTTTGTCAGTGACTGATGGTTGCTTAGAGTCAAAATGGATCTGCCCTCCTACATTTGACAGAATATCTTGACCTAACAGGGGATAAGGGCATTCTGGAACAACCAGGAACGAGTTGGATATCCGGCACACGCTGAGGTCCACTGTTCTTCATGTAGTCCATAAATAATGCTGGTTCCGTGTTCCCCCCTGCACCTAAGATTTTTTGTTTGACAGCGGTAGTTCAGTTGTTAAGAGGATCGAATGTTGAGCCCCAGTGTCCGCAAGGAACTGTGTGGGTTTCCCCTCCTCCTCCAAAGTTTCCCAAGGCTTGGGTAGGGGTCGTGATCCTCGACTCCCCTAGTCCTCATCCTCTAAGGCAAGGATCTTATCTTTGGAGGCGAAGCCCCTCTTCTTCTTAGGGCAATCCCAAGTCCAGTGTCCTTTCTTTTTGCAATATGCACATTGGTCTTTGTCCAACTGTGGCCTAGGGTCCATGTTTCCTATCTCTCTAGACCTTCTTGTTTCATTTCATCTACTCCCTTCTCTAACTACTGTGGCCAAAATCTTACTTAAATTTCTCTCCTGTCTTTTCTGTATGTATTTCTCTTTCTTCTCATTCCCTGCTCTTTCTCTCTTCCTTTTCTTCCTCTGTCTCTTTTATCATAAACCTTGTCTGCTTCTTTGACTAAGTCCTGCATAGTGTATCCTTTTATCCCATCAAGCCTTTGAAGCTTTCTTTTAATATCTGAGGCTGATTGATCTGGGAAAGTCGTGGCAACTGTGGGCCTAATGTTCCACTGAATTTGTGTCATAGGGTGTAAAATGCCTAAAGGCCTCCGTAAGCCATTCTAATAACACCATTAGTGACTCAGTTTGTCCCTGGGTCACTTCTCTTACCTTGTCCAAATTGGTAGGGCACCTGGCAGCGCCACGGAGACCAGCCACAGGTGCCTGGCATTTGACAATCAGATGCTCTCTACCTTCAGGTATATTGAAATTTCAGGTGAGGAGTGTAAGCAGGAACCTGGTACTAATCTCATTGGGAAGTTGAGTGGGTCTTCTATCAGCCCCTGGTACATTCTTGCTGGCTTCTATAAGGACCCATTGCTTTTCCTTGGTGGAGAGGAGAGTCTTCGATACCTGATGTCAATCATCCCATGTGGATTGGTGGGAAAAGAGAAGTGACTCTATAAGTGATACTGGGGATTCTCAGAAAAATAGGGAGTGTGGGTCTTCCAATTACAGAAGTCTGAGGGAGAGAATGGCCAATACTGAAAAGGTCTATTCCTATATTCATGGGAGGAGGGCAAATTCTCAAAGGGGGAGAGCTACAATCTCGGGAGGTATACCCTAATGGCTGTGGGTACACAACATCGGGCCTGCGATGGGTCCCTCCAGGGTTGCTGCCCATCCCTCGTGTCAGCTTGGAGGTGCTAAAAGGAGAACAGGTGGAAGAACCGAGTCCTGTTGGGGTGGAAATACAGGGCATAAGGAGGAGGGGGATCCAGGAGGAGGAGATCTGAAGATACGTCAGGGCAGACCTTCTTTGGCTCGGTATCTTAAGTCTTCTTTCCTGTTGCCCCTGCCTTCAAGGTGAAGAACCCTAAAGCTGGCCCTCCAGAAGGGAATGAAAAAAAAAGGGCAGACCAAGGGCAGTGTATTATAGATCCTAGGATGTATGGTATTAGATCAGAATGTACATGAGGCCCTGTGTCCAAAGTCTTTATCTTTTTTTTTTTTTTGGTTTTTACAAGACAGGGTTTCTCTATATTGGTTTGGAGGCTGTCGGTCCAGCCTGGCCTCGAACTCACTGAGATCCACCTGCCTCTGCCTCCTGAGTGCCGGGATTAAAGGCATGTGCCACTACCGCCCGGCCAAAGTCTTTATCTTTATAGCCCTAATCTTATGTAGGTTGAAAATTCATTCAGGAGGCCATCCCACCTGCAAAGTGGGACATACAGAAGTACAAAGTGTAGAGAGAAGACTTTTCCTTGCCAGCCACTTTGGTTTTTCCCCAGCAGTTGCCTAGGCTCTGCGGCATTGTAGTCCCCAAATAACACACAAGACGCTGTATTAATTATGAAGCTGTCGGCCTTGCTTGTTTCTTACTGGCTAGCTCTGACTTAAGTATTTAAGCCATCGAAGCATTTCTCTTACCGGACGGATATCTTACTTCTCTGGCAGGCTACATGATGACTCCCTGTGTTTCCCCTACCCAGAGTCCTCCTCAACTCCTAGTCCCACTTATCTTGCTTCCCTATTGGCCAACAGTGCTTTATTGACATGTACACAGGACTTCCCCATCAACAAAGAGTCTGCAACCTTCGCTTTCTAACATCTGCTGATAGATTATGAGCTCTATCCTTTACTTCAGACCAGTGGTCAAGAGTTAGAGTTGGGGGGTCATCATGGTTTGTCCTGTGTTACCATTCGTGGGAAGGAAATACAGACAAAGGCTTGCAAATATTGTCCAGGCAAAAAAAAAAAACAAAACAAAAAACAAAAACAAAAAACAACAACAACAAAAAAAACAAAAAACAAAAAAAACAGACAAGAGTTTGTCCAGAACAGAGATAGAATCTGATGGCCGGGCTGCCGATATAGATTGGAGGGGCAGTAAAATTTCCCCTTCCAACAGCCTCACTGGGTGTCCCCCATGATGAATACTGATTTCCCCATACTCGGGGAAAGTGACACTGACTCCAAGCACCACTTAGGGATACTGATACTGATACTAACTCCCTGTACCACTTGAGGATACCGATTTCAGAATTCAGAAACAGAAACAGAGAAGACTCAGAAAGCACAATCATTTCTGGTTGCTGAGCAACAACTCACCAACAGTAAAACTTAAGTATTCTTTGAGTGCTGGTAGAAGTTCCTCTGAACTCAGGGGTTTTGGTGTCTGGTGACTTAGAGAAATGCCAGACGAGCGCCCAAATGAAAGACCCTAGAGTCTTTCTCTCAGTACCGTCACTCAAAGAACACCAGGGAGCCGAAGTTCATTGCAAAAGCAAAGAGGATTTATTAAACTAGCAAGCCGGGGTTCAGCCGGGGAAGGAGTGAACCCCAAGCAGAAGTTATAGCGAGTTTTTAAAGCCTAAAACCACAGATGGAATAGGGAGGAGGCACAAGGTGGGTTTGGCAGTTAGTGCCAGACCTTCAATCAATCATTTACTAATGGCCTTGTGGCTGTCTGAAATCATTATCTATCTTTAGGCAGTTGTGTTTTGGCTAAACTATTGTGTGGTCTGTCCTTTACTGCAACCTTGAGGTCTGGGGATTTCCCAAGTCCTTGGGGTCCAGACAACATTTTTAAGCCCTTGAGAATGGACCACCAGAGAAGGATAACTGGGGAATATTTTTCTTTAAGTGCAGCTGCTCATCAAGGACTGGACAACTTAATACTTTTTCAACCATTGAAGTGGGAGTTTCTTCATTTTCATTTAAATGGTGTTGCTTAAAAATGGTAGTGATCACAACCAATCTCTTTTTAAATGTAAATGGGAGATCATGGTATAGAAATTGTATTGGTACGAATTCCATTTATTCATTCAAATTTGAGATCAATTTTGTGATACATATACATATATATTTCTCCTTTTGTTTAGATAATGTGTTTATACAGCTCTTTTAAAAATGTAATGTATAAATTAAATGCAGATTATAGTTACTTATAATAGTCAAAACTCATTGTTAGATTAGTTAGTTTTTCTAGATCTGCAGAGATA